ACTCGAACCCCCCCGGCTGTATGTGCCTCACCCAGAGGGAAGCACAGAACTCAGCATGGGGTTGGAGGCCACGCACGGCCACACACGTTTCCCATCAGCTCCTGATGCAGCCATTACTCATCCTGGAAGGGAGTTCCCGGTCCTTCAAACCCAACTCAAAGGCCTCCTCTGATGATGTCAGAGACCCCCCCTGGGCAGAGTGGCTGCCTCTACGCCTGCAGGGTCTTCAGCACCCCCCATGCTGGATTAAAACAGGCCGCGAGCAGCTCGATGTCAGGAGTCCTGTCAGCGAGCTTCCATTTCCAAATTAAGCACAGGGTATGACCACTGAGAAAGTCTCCATTTTAAGTAGGTGTAGGAGGCTTACTGGTCGGCTGAGATCCTCTCTGCTGGGTCAGCTGGAAAGTGTACAGCCAAAAAAAAAACAACCCATGAAATCTGCTCAGGCCACTCATATACTAAGCCATTCTCAAGATAGGCCCGAAATAATTTTGCAGCTTTTGGGCAGACTAGGACAACGTGGAGTTTGCAGTTCAAAGAAAAAGAGAAAACTGACATCTCCTTATTCATCTGACTAAAAATGATATATGTGCTAAATAAGGCAACCGTAGAAACTGGTTTTCAAACTACCTTGAAACCCAGCAGTCTTCCCAAACCCAAACTATAGACTAGTTGGTTACAGACTTATTTGGGGACCAACCTTGTTGGTTGTTAACTGGGGGAAATTTGCTTACCAAGTAATGTATCAAATTCTCCTAAAATTCAGTAAAAAAACTTTCTACAAGATTCTTCTAATACAAATTATGCTAAAATTGTCTTGATGATACTTGTGGAAGCTTATAAACTCAATCTGAGTACCTAAATAGTAGTCTAGAAAGGGAACTCAGTATTCATGACACTATTACATCAAACCTAAAAACTAAATACAGTTCAGTTCAGGCTTTCTAAGGTACTTGGTTCCATTAAAGAACACGAACTAGAATTTATCAAGTAACCTGGTATAAAAGTACTTCACTAACTTTTATGCTTACTTTTTGACAAATATATGGTCACAGAGGTAAAATTATATACTCATGTGCTGCACATAATGACGTTTCAGTCAGAGACGGACCATGTACATGGGTGGGACTAAAGATGGCGAGACCCATACCTCTTCCTTGTCTGTATTCAGACACACAAATACTCACCACTGTGTCACACCCGCCAAGGCCAAGAGTGTTCAGTCCAGTCACACGTTGCCCAGGTTTGTAGCAGGCTGTGCTGTCCAAGCCTGTGTAAGCACACTCTGTGTTCACACAACGACAACAGCGCCTAAGGACACATTTCTTGTGACTCATCCCCTTACTCCGCCCCTGTGCTAAGGGCTAGGTGAAGCACGCTTACGCTAAGAGCTAGACATTAAAGCAAACATTCATTTTATCTAAATTGCTTTCTAACTTTAAATGATTTTTCCAGCATCTACAGAAAAATTTACATTTATTTCGGAAGTAGTTTCTAAAAAGCAAATGGATTTGATGGGCTTTTTCTCAACTGAAAGCCAACATCTGAAGATGTGGGAAGTCACACATTTTTTACATTCACATTTACAACAAAATAGACATGTAACAAGGGAAACATTTAATGAATTAGTATAACCCCAACACAATGTTTGCTACAGTATTTGAGAGCATTTATTTAAAATGTCAACCTCCTTCCAAAAGACGGAAGACAAATGAGCCCGCTTCTTATATGAGGTATATGGTAACAACAACAGAATCCTAAATGCAAAAGGACCATCAGTTGCCTAAATATAAAATTGAACTTTGGCAAAGAGAGGAGTGTTATACAAAAGAGCACGGCCCACAAAGAATACAGAGTTCCCATGCCATGGCCCTGTCCCCATTCACACTTCCCTGGGGAAGTGTGTGCTATAACCCTGTTCCAGATGAGTCAGAATTTTTAACACATGGTCTGCCGATTAACATTAGTTTTCCTCAACCCTCAGTACTAGAACTATACGAATTACACCTTTAAGATATTGGAAACAGACACTGAATTTATTGGTTGGCTATGAGTAGGAAAATACATTGGTAAAGAAAAGAGACCCTGCATAGAAATACAATACCAGCCGGTCACAGTGTGGCCAAGAAGGGTCCACCGCAGAGAACAGCAAAGCCCTCGTTCCCACCAGGCCGTATGGCACATCTTCAGCTCCCATCCCCCTTATCAAGGGCTGCCTGGGCAAATGCGACATTCTTTGAGCTGACAGTGCATATCATGGGCTGGGTCTTGTGGCATGAATGGCCAACAAGAGGCAGTCCAGTGCATCACACAACATAATGTACGTGAATAAGACTAGACACTCCAGACACTACCTTCAACACAACAGCTGTTTAAATTTACGTAACCAAAAAGAAGAGCAAAGTGAACATCTTAAAATACTGCTGAGGAGTAGTGGAGAAACACGTACTAAAGGTGTTCTTGAATTACCTGTAACACCTGTACTGAATTTTCGAATCGCTTTATTAGAAGAGCAAACTGCTGCAACTGCTTAGCCTAGGTAAGGCTTTCATCCTTATATGATATGACCCCAAAAACCTTACTAGTCACTATGGAAACGAATTCCGTAACTTTAAATAGTAAAAATGAAACTCTAAAACTTGAATGTTATTACTGAAAACCTAAATCTTAGAAAAGCTTTGAAGCATTAATTTCAGTATTTAGAAGTGCATTTTATCCAATTTAATAATGTCCCTAGGCCTAAAAGTGCTAACCCAATATAAGTTTTCTGGCTGTCACCAAATCAAGTAATGATAATAATAATAAACACATTTATTGGAAATGTTCTTTGCTTATTTTCTGGGACTATTAAAGTTGCACTCAACAATTCATTTTTACAACCTTAAGTTATGCCATAAATTAATTTCGATAAACAGTTAAATTCTCGAAGCATAAATAATTACCATCAGTACAGTAATTCCAAGGGATTTGCAACAAGGAACTGAGTGCCTCCAAATTTCTGATTTTTAAAACAGAAAACGTGTCCCAAATTTTCTGCAAAACGTTCCTAAAATGGATTTATCCAGCAGAAGCACTGACATCACATTATGGCAACACAGTAAATATATTTGTTACAGAATAATTTTTTAAAAACTACACTGTGAAAACATACTAGTTTTTATTGCATTTGAGGGAGTGTGGCCTACTGAAAATTACCCAGGACACAGAAAATATTTAAAACACAAAAGCTTGCTTAACAAAGTATCATAGTCTATTTTGGTGTGACCGTGTATTCCCTACAAACCCCAAATATCTCTTCCTCCTTTGAAGACTACAGTTTTAAGCCTCCACTCTTGGTTCAATTCATCACCATCCAAACAAAGTGAAGCTGCTCAAACTGACCACAGAATGCAGCATGACTGGAAGAGGCAAAAACAAGTATTTTCAAGCAGAACAGGCCATCATATCTTAATATGCTGTCCCAAATTCAAACGTATTATGGACAACAACAAATGCAAGTGACGCTTATGTGAAGCTCAAACCTTTAGCATCTAACGAGTGCACTGCAGTTCCAGCATCTGTGAACAGATTATATCCTCCACCAAGAAGTCCACAATGATAAGTGCTCCCCCGTCCCCTCCATGAAGCCCTCAGGACCTATGGTCATGTAACGCAGACCCAGGACGAGCGGCTCCCTTGGCCTCGTGAGTCCAGCAGGCTCCAGCTCACCCTCACTGGAAGTCGTCAGGATGCACGTTGCCAACACAGTGTTCAGGAAAAACGAGTAAACACACTGGTTATTCACACTTCACAAAAAAACAAAAACCTCGTAAAAAGTTACGCACTGGCTTGACATCAAGACCAACTTTACAATGTTCTGATCATAAACCGGATGTGTTTGGTGCCATCACAACTTAAAAAACACAAAAATAAAAACCAAAGCATCACAACGAAATCGAAAAACAAAACAAAAGAAAAATCAGGTCCAAGCCAAGACAAAGATTCAAGATCGAAACCTTTGGAGAAGTTTCTAAAAGGAAAAAAAGAACCACTTATTTAAACAGTGTTTAATTTTATTTTCTCTTAACAACAGAATAAGCACATTTAAGTGCTGAACATTTCTCATAAAATTTTAAGTCATTATCCAAAATGACTCATTCTCTGTATAAAAAAAATGGTTCGTAACAGTCAACATTTTTCTTAATGCGTGCACGGCGTTCTTTTGTTTCCCTGCCTGCAGTTGAAACAAAAGCAGTTAGACCAAGCTCCTCTGAATTCATTTGATTTTTGAGAGAAGAACGAATGCATGAGAAAAGAACATTTACCAGTTAATTCTGCATGGGTAAAGCTGGCTTTAGCCTCTAATATGCCAATGGCATCATGGGCAAAAAAAAAAAAAAAAAAAAAAATGCCACCATGGGCAAAAAAAAAAGACAGGGCACAATATACTTTTCATCTGGTTGACATTCTAAAATGACTCTGCCACTTTAAAAATGATCTGAAAAATTGTCTTAGGGACCTGCTTTGAAGATGCATCTAATGTACAGTTTCACGAACAGAAAGTTACTTTTTCTTAAAAAAAGGAATGATTAAAGAAAACACAGAGACCATGGAGTACACAGATAACATGGGTTCACATGATAAAGGACTTGGCGGTGGCAGGCGGCACCATGCAGCCACGCAGGAAGCAGCGCTGGGCCCGGCAAGCAGGACCCGGGGCCCACCGCAAGCACGGTCCGCGCATGACGTCCAACGCCTCACGACGGGAAAAGCTGCAGCTCGTACGGAAGCGTCTTGCAAAAGTCTCACAAATGCTGAACAGTTCTTTAAAAATATAAAAGAGGAGGCACAGATTTTCTCTGCATGCACAGGCAGTGCTTGGTGAGAGCAAACCTCGGCAGGCACGGAGGAGAATGGACAGGAAGGAGCTCGAGAGGGAGCCAAGGAGCTGGACCTACGCAGCTGCCGTTCGGAGGCTTCGAAAAGGTACAGACTTAGCAGCACCAGGTGGGCCCATGTCAGTCGTTACATTCAGTCCAAAGATGCTGACGGTCACTCCCTGTTCGGCTTATCTGTCCTGGTAGACAGTTTTGCAAAAATTCATTCGTAAGTTGCCTCTGGTCTGAGAAAATGTCCCAAGGTTTAAGCAGATTTGGATTTAAAGAACCATGTTCTCGATTTAAAAATAAAGTAAGTAGTACAAAAGGGCTAACACAACCCTCGCAGTGCAAATCATGAGCAGAGAAGGTCTGTGGCAGCTTCTTTTACAAGCTGGCCTCTGGAACACACGAAATAGGTAAAAAAACTTAGCCTCGGTGTACAATACAATCGCTTCCAAATCTGATTTTTAGTACAAAATTTCATAAATCAGGTCTTCTGTGGATCATATACAATCATAAAGGCTAAATTCAAATTCTATTATTTTATAAACAAGTCTGGAAAAGGAGGGAGTGAAGTCTGGAAGAATGGTCTCTGGATGTTACTACTGGCCTCAAAAAAGTAGTGCTACAGATTTCTGTGCAAAGACAATATGCTGCTCAAACATTTTCCTATTTCAAGGCATGAAAATATTATCTTGGGTAGAACAAATAGGAAAAGTTCTTGTAACGAATTAAAGACAGGTGCAAACACACCCCTCCCTGTCTAGCAGGATAGAGCAAATTGGGCTCAGAATGTGTGTGCTGCTAGCACCTGGCTGTCGCTCTGTGTCCTCACCGAAACCCACAACGTGTCGCTGCTAGGACCTGGCTTCTGTCTTCACAGATAATCAGACTGAAATCCAAATCGTCCTCAAGACAAACATAATCCCCAGCAGCCATACCTCACTCCCCTAAACTCAGATCCTCACGAGCCGACGAGCAGTCGAGGCGTCCTCAGAGGTGCTCGACTACCTCCTGCCAGAAAGGTGAATGCCATTGATGTGGGGCAGGAAAGGCAGCAAGAGCTCCAGCTGTGCGAAAAGTGAGAAGTGGTCGGAGGGGATGAGGGGGTGCGGGCAGCCGCTGATGTTGTTCTCCACCAGCCAGTGGTGATCCAGGGGCCCCAGGATGCCCAGCGTGTTCAGCTGAGGCTGGGAATAGAAGATGTAGTCGATTATACCCTGGAAAACAAGAGACAAGAGCCAAGGTCCCACATGAGGCAACCGCCAAATCCCGAGTGCTTTCCAGACATGCCCTTACGGTCAGGCTGGGTGAACGACACAGAACAAGCACAATGTGCTCGCCCGCAGGAAGAGGTCTACACCGCACAAACCAGAGGCCCCCAAAGCCAAGCCAGCCTCTCCTTCCTCCCAGTGGCTACACCAAATCGCCAGCAAGACCTTAAGAACCTGCAGACGCGGCCTCGGCTGCTCTGCCTCAACACCACCCAGCTGACGTGGTGGCCTTGGGGCAGGAGGGCGGGTAGAGGGAAGACCCTCGTGGGTCCAGGCTCTTCTTGACCCTGGGCCTCCACACATGCCGTCTCTTCTGCCTGGGCACTGTCTTCTCCCTGTGTCAGGTCAGGTCCTTCTCAGCCCTTCCACGTTGGGTTCCACCACTGCCAAAGACCTTCCTGAATCCCGCTCCCGCCCACCTGCACCGCCCACCACTGAGGCTCCTCCCAAGATGTCATCACACGCACGCACGCGCTCGCACACACGACTGTGGCTGAGACAGGACTCTCGCACCAGAGCACGGCTGCCAAGGGCAGGGCTGTCTCCCCGGCCCTGCGCCTCCCACAGCCTCAGCCCAGCATCCAGCTCACAGATTCGGGCCTGCTGGTTCTGCCCCTCCACTACATGCTCTTAGCCAAGTGCGCCAAAGCACATCATGTGTCTTCTCCCTGTCTCACGCAAGCAACAGAAACAGAGAAGAACCCAGCATCTCCCACCCTCAGCTATTGCTCTCGCCACTCCTGCCGTCAGTATGCTGGCAAGTCCAAAGGAAGGACAAACTGAAGCTGGAGGACAAGGTAAATCTCCAGGCTCCAAGTGCAAAGGCTTCTGAGACCCCAAGAGACAATCTAGCCTGCATGGTTATCTTTCAGCAGAGCAGAAATGCAAAAGGTCACTACACAGGACAGCTGGACACAAGAAAGTGACACAGTCCTGAACAAGCACTAGTATTACACATGATGAGCATCACTGAGAGAAGGTACCACACTGCAAGTTGTTCACTGGGCAAAAAGGCACCTAGATACAAGACGCATCTTGGAATATAGCCTCAGCTAAATTAAAATCCGAGAGAAGGACTATTTCACCCAAACTGACACCAAACTAGATAGTATGGCAGTACACATCCAGCTGTAAGAAACACGCATACAACAAACGCCCCCAAAAGGTGAATGGCAGGTTAGAAATTGATTCCATCTGCCCTCCCCTCCTGGAAGATATTCTAACAGAGTCTAGAGAGGAAGACTGTGCTGCCAATCCCAGGGAACCCTGCAGAAGGCTAAAAGAGAACACTGCTGTCAACAGATTCCAACCTGAACACACAGCCAGCCACACTTCAAAGTCATGGTGACCTTAAGAGACTGACTGATAAAACGGAGGTTTAAAAAGCTTATCAACCGAGGCACACCTTGAAATCGAACGTGTAGTTTGTGTAAGGCATCAGGCCGCTCTCATAGGCACTCTTCAACCTGAAGCCATGAGTGATTCTCCCGTTGGGTGCTCCATTCTTCCCGTTACAGCTGAAGTTGGTGAGACTTTCATTGTATCTCAGTTCCTTGAAGTCTTTATGATTTGTTTCTACTCCACCCGTGCTCAGATACTCCACAACACCTGTAATGAAGACAAACAGACTTTCTGCATTGTCAAGTATAACATGTGTATGAAAAGCAATATGAAAGATCATGCAATAATAGTAAGTGGTTCTAAACTACACTTGTTGCCACTTTCTCAAATGTTCTGGTTATTTTGCATTTGCCAGAATTTGGCCATATCTATATTTTTACACAGTTGTAATCATAGTTTACTGAATATTTTATACTTCACTCTTTCCATGTATGCTGTACCATACATACGAACTTATGTGTCTCCCAATTACTTTTCTTCAATGGTTATATAATACAACTGGGCTGGTGTATAGTATTTGCTAAACTAGTTCCTTATACTTTTAAATTCAGGTTGTTTCCACTTTCAAGAGAGACTTAAAGATAGTACAACCCACATCTTAGAACATAGGCTTCTGCTTATGCCGAATTGTTTACTTGGTACAAAACTTCAAAGATTAAGAGCGAAAGTGCCTGAATAACCTGTCCATGACAGAAGAGAAATGCTTCCGGTTAGTTAACAGAGCACTTTCCCCAGCCCTGACCCATTTTCCCAGCTTCCTAAGCATAGGGTGGGCTCTGCAAACATATTTTCATGTAATTAGCGGACCTCTCCCCACGTGCTTGCTATTAAATGATACGCTTTTCAACGCCAGCTGGGTCCTGGATGTGCTCTCTCCTACAGAGGGGGGAAGCAAGTGGAGAATAACCCCCATGCTGCAGCGGGAGCCAGACGGCTCAGTCAAAGACTGAGAACTATGACTGAGAACTATGGGCCTCAGCTAGCTTTATTTTCCCTGAAGCAAATGTTAACATAGTTGCCTTCTTCTTAATGGCTATTATGATAGCAATAATGCACTGTCAAATATGTCTACTCCAGAGGCACGCACGCGTTCATGCATGCATGCAAGAACAAGGAACAGTATTCCTGTGTGTATTAGATCTCATATGGCTAAGGATGTGGCATAAGTTGATATTATAGGGCTATGGCTTATTGTGTATACTATCTATGGAAAAGTATTCACGATCAGGCTTTCTGTACTCTACTTTGTGATAAAAATTAAGACAGGTGCTTTTTTTGTTAAAGGACCTCAAATTCCACCTGAGATGTATTTTTTCTAATCAAGTCACACACACACACACACACACACACACACACACACACACACACACACTCTCTCTCTCTCTCACATTTATTGAGACTATAGAATATATAGTCAAATTTAACTGTGAGTATATTACCCATGCTGTAATTCCAAAGAAACCATATTATTAATAACTTTTTCAGAGTCTGGATTATATAGGACTTGGGGATAATAAAATAAAACTATATGTTTTTTAACAAATTATTTCAAGTCATCAACCCTTTGTCTCTCAAAGATGATTAATCCCCTTTCTCCTCAAGTTTCCATAATACCATTTCATTTTCAAAATGGCCTCCTTAGAGCACACAAAAAGTTTTTAAACCTGCTCAGGGCTGCCACTACAAATGGAATTTCTGTCTTGACTAAATTTGGAATGATCGGAAACAACACGTTATAAAAAACACTTCCAGTCAAAAAGCATGTATATATAAAAGGATGTTCTTTTCGTACCAGAGTCTGGCAAAGAATTAAGGTCTGCACATAACACCAGCGGAATAGTTCCAAACTCTCCCAATACGCCGGATTTGAAGTTTCGAGAGGCTTTATCAATAATGTTCTTCACTTCCGAGAGGAACATCATCGTTTGTACCAACTTCACATCAGAGTACTCAGGGTCCCAATGCATATGAGCGTTGGCCACAAGGATAAGTTGTTTTTCTGTTCCAAGATGTGGCTTTCCAGCTGCATTAGCAACAAGAAAAAAAACAAGCAGACTAAACCTATCCATCAGTCCATATACTCTCAGTCTGAAAGCAAAGGACTTCTCAGAGTCTCAGAACAGAAGTGCACCTCAAGTCCCTCTGACCATTCCCGTCCAACGGCTGAGTGTGCCCACAGCACACCTGGGAGCCTGGGGTGACCTGGCCAGCACAGGACATTCAGGACTTGTACAGATGGCTCAGTCCATCTAGGACGGCTCGGTTTCTAAAGTTCTGTCTCCCCGAAACTTCTGGTCTTAGTTTAGATGCCCTAAATCAAGCCTCATAAAATTAAATCTAAATGTTCTTTCTTAGATCTATTTAAGACTGTCCTCAAGTTCCACCTTTTCTATTCTTCACATTAAACGTCCCCAGTGCCGGCTATTCCTCTACTGACAGAAGTTCCAAGTCTCAGCATAGTAATCACTCTAACTATACTTTCAGTTTGAAATAAGTAGTATATTTATCCAAAATGCAAGACCTTTAATTACTTTAAGTAGATCAGGAAGAGAAGTTAGCTTACAGAATATCCTTGCTGCCAAGAACGTATGAAAGTATATGGTGCTCTTACCCCTGAGCAGTTATTTTAATTAATATTTACTTCAATATTTCTTTTACATGAAAAATTCTTAAAAGCAAAATTTTCTTTATGTTTCAAGGTTTTTACACTTTTCTGGGCAATGCTTTCTCATCTTAAGTTTTGTGGTAGAACAAAGGAGATAGAATATTTTTAAAGACAAATTCTGAGTTTCTTCAGGTGTTAGACAAGACCATGAATACACAAATTTCTGTTTCTTATTCTTTTTGAAGATGTCTAGTCAGAACTACTAAATTTGGGAGGTCAATTGTACAGGAAGTGAAAAGGCCACTCACACGACATTTCAATCAATTCCTTTCGTAGCTCTAGCAGTACTGCAACGCCAATGTTATCTTTTGTCATGACTCTGTTCAGCATAGCTTCAGACCCTTCTGAATTTGCCATTGCTAGCTGATTAAATTCAACAGTGTGTTTCTGAACCAAAGTAAATCTAAAAGAAAAACAAAAACACACAATAGACACAGAACTGGGAATACCAAGTCATTGGCTTTGTGAGAAACGCAGTTTCCCCAAACTTCCTCAATAAACATGAAGCCAGCTAAATCCCATCACAGATAATCCTCCACACTCAGCACCAAGTGTGCACATCCACTTACAGCTGTTCTCAGTCTTATGGATACAAGTAACATTGTGAAATACATTTACAAGTACCTTAAGAAAATGTAGTCATCTTTGCTAGAGTTTCATGTTGAAATATACTATCTTGCAATTTTTTCAAATAATTACTTTCCAAGTATACATGTAAAAGTCCCTCCACCATCCTAGAGGGAATGTAAACTATACGATGTTTCAATTAATAACTGGAGTTAAACCTTGTAAACACCTGAAGAAACAACAGCACTTTAAAGTATGTCTCCAAAACAAGGCTTTTTCTGATGATAAAAATCAAACAAGCAAAAATTCCCTTCGTCAAAAAGCAGTGTTTTCTTGACTAATAATACAGTGCCTCATTCTCTTATTTGCCAGTTAACGTCCACACTCTTGGTTCCCACCCAGCAAATACTGAGAACATTTAAAAAAAAAATAAGATCCCTTACTTTTCCGTTTTGAAGAATATTGCACAGCCGTCAACATGTTTTCTTTCTTGTTCTGACATTGTCCTAGCTCTAGACTTAGGACTAAAGAATCCATTATAGCCACGTTCTTTCAGTTCTACCAGAAAAAAACTGTAATACTGTTCCGTTTCAACCTCCTGAAAAATCATAAACGGTAAAGTTGTTTTATAAGACGAAAATCAGTCCTATGTATTTAAACTTTTGTGTATACGAGGGGGAGCCCCCCAAAACACAGATTTGATTTATAAAAATTGTGTATTTTTTCTTACATGTTTAAACTTCAGTCACCTTCAAAGTACTCTCCATTTGATGTAATACACCTATCAAGATGCTTTTCCCACTGCTCAAAACAGTTTCTGAACTCATCCATTTTCATGCCTTTTAGTGTTTCTGCCATTTTTTTTGTTTCACCTCTTCCACATCAGCAAAACGTTTCCCTTGGAGGACTTTTTTGTTTCTGTTTTTTTTTTGTTTTTTTTTTTGAGTTGGAGTCTCACTCTGTCGCCCAGACTGGAGCGCAGTGGCCGCTCCCGCAGCCTCGACCTGCTGGGCGACGGCGATCCTTCCGCCTCAGCCTTCCGAGTAGCTGGAACAACAGGCATGCGCTACCACGCCCAGCTGATTTTTTGGTTTATTGTAGAGATGAGGTCTCGCTACCCAGGCGGGTCTCGAACCAGCGGGCTCAGGCAATCCACTCACCTCAGCCTCCCAAAGGCGCGGGATTACAGGCTGAGCCACCAAGCCCGGCCTGGAGGACTTTTTTCATCCAGAGAAACCAAAAAGTCACTTGGGGCAAGACTGGGTGAACAGGGAGGGTAGGACATGGGGGTCATGCTGTATTTGGTCAAAAAGTGCTGAACACTCAGCACAGTATGCAGGTGGGCTCAGAAATCACCCATCATAATATGGGCAAACGCGTTGAAAGAACCTCCAAAGAGTATTCACTGAAGCCAAACTCAGTATCTCACAACAACACACTAACTAGTACCCAGATGCCACTGGGTTTTTTGCTTTCCGGGGGAAGCCTGAACCACAAGGGGTACACCCCCTAAAAGAAAATTCCAGTATTTTGGGTGGTCCCCCCTCACAATTTGAGAGTTTGGAATAATTTCAAAAAATTGATCTTTAGATTAAAGACGGTAGCATCTTTTCTCACTCTGTCACCCAGGCTGGAGTGCAGTGGTACTAGCACAGCTCATCACAGGCTAGGCTCCCTGGGCTCAGGTGATCCTCCCACCTCCAGCTCCCGAGTAGCTGGGACCACAGGTGCATGTCACCACCACATTGTCATTTTTAATTTTTTTTTTTGTAGAGATGAGTCTCATTATGTTACCCAGGACTGGTCTCAAACTCCTGGTCTCAAGCAACCCTCCTGCCTTGGCCTTCCAAAGTGCTGGAATCACAGGCACAAGCCACCACACATGCCAAGAACTTAACATCTTTCGATGACATTTATCTGAAACCAACTGGGATGCCTACTTGTCATTTCACAGGTACCAGTCGCCATGGTCAATTCTTTTTAAGGAATGACAAGTGGACAGATGCATATCCCCGTGCATATGCATTTCCTTTTGTCTTGGAACTGATGTGTGTGGAACAAGAGTCACAGAGGTAGAAGGAATTTCACAGATCATACTTTCAAGCCCATGGCAAGATGGTGACTTGCCAGAGATCGTGTAAGTCACCATGAGAGGTGGGCAGTCCTTTTCATGCTATGCTCTAATTATTCTAGTAACACAGCAGTGAAGCAAGGTCATACTTTGACGGTGCCCGAATTTCCGTAACTTCTGCACCCGATTCGAAAACAGTATGTTTTCGACGCAGGGACAGGGGCAGGGGTGGGTGAGTCCCAGCTGTCTTGGCAAAACGCATTGGCCCAGCTGCTCTGCTGGCCTGGCTGCACAGTGATGCAAAGCAAAGCAGGCTGTGCGCTCCAGGACTCACGAGAAACCGCAGAGCTGGCACCCAAAGAACTACGCCCTGTGTGCTCCCTGCTCTATCAGTACCAGGTGATTTCATAAGCCTCTCCCGTCTGGCTTACCTGAAGACTCACAATGTCAGCATTGCAGCTCAAGATTTCTTGAATAATGGCCTTTTTCCTGTAGTCCCAATTGAGTGCCCATGATGGACAGTAGCCGTATAACTGCCGGGTCGCATATTTATCACAAAGAACATTATAGCACATGACAGAAAACAAGGCTGTAGGAAAGATAACTTTACTTATTCATACACGTGGCAGAAAAAAATACATATAATTAATTTCAGTAACAGTTTTCACTTAAAAGTTAAGTATGGCTTTTTCATCCAATTTATGTGAACCCAAAACCCACCACATGCCAGATAAGAGGGGTAGAATCAAGATGGGTGACCAAGGGAAGAGAGATGCATGAAGCCGTCAGAAGACAACGATCACCTGCACACAGGTGTGGAGGCTAAGAGACCGAGATTGTGAGGCTCTTCATGTCTACACCCCCCCTCTGCCACACCGCCAGCTGCCAATGGAGGATGTGAAAACCTGACAGTTTCTTTAACAGACATGCCGCATTTTCTTCTATAAAGCAACAATTAGTATTCACACAAAATGAAATTCAGTCCCTCACACCATGGAAGCGCTCAAAGTATTTCCATAGGATTTAGGTTAAAAGATTAGAGATTTTGCTCAATTTTCCTCTCGAGTAAGAGTTTTGGCTCTCTTATGACCCTGTAGTGTCCAACACATTTGGAACATGCTAGGATTTGGAAACCTCCACCATAGAAAGATTTGGGTGTATACATGAACTTTACTTCATGGCATGGCTTCTCAACAACAGTGGCACCATGGGCATCTTGGGCCAAGTATGCTGTGGGGCACAGTTCTATGCACTGTAGGACACGTAGCTGTGGCCCGGGCCTCCAGCACCAGATGCAGCAATCCAGGCTGTCCCTAGACACTGCCAAACGTGCCCAGGGATGCAGCCACCCTGCATGGGAAGTGTGCTGGCCGGGCCCTTCCGCTGCATCCCCGTGCACAGGCCAGCCAGGCAGGAGGAAGTCTTCAGTATCACCTCCCACACCAGGTGAGTCTCACACATTTCACCTCACTGTTCACTGCCTGGAACCTAAAGCATGCAGCAACACGGTTAGGGTTACAGAGCCAAGCAGAAACAAATTAAAAGGGCGACCGACCGGTGGGCCTTGTTCTGTCTGGTTCTTGCAACATAATCCACGATCTTGGAGGTGGCTGTTCTGTTGAAACTAGTTGGACAGAAAACACAGAATTAAGCAATATTCTTACACGTCCTCCTAATAAAAAGGTTTACACCAATGACCACTTACTTCTTCCTGCAGTACCTGACAAGTTATCCAGCAAATAGCTCAGCAGCCTTCTTGTACCATCTGGTTCCTGGTAAAGGCTCAGTATATCCTGGGCAAGCGGGTTTCCTGGGGATATTTTAAACACAGGTAAATGAAACCAGGACAAGTCCTGAAACCTTTCCAAATTTAAAAATTCACCAAAATCATCATGTTGTCTATAACAACGCTCTGGCTATTAGTAAGATGCCAAACTACAGAAAAGACTTTTTCAGTTTCTCCTATGAAGAGTAAGAATGAGTCATACCGACGCTTACCCACGCAGGTATCTCAAAGTGACTACCAAGGGACTTGCGCCCTTCAGAAGTGCTCTAGCCGTGCCGTGTCTGACCGGTCTCCCACAGATGAGCGGGATGAGAAGTAAGGGAGGCCGGACACGAGCGGGTGGGGAGGGAAGCAGGGTGAGAGTCAGCGGCATCAGTCAGAGAACCAACATTCCAGAATGTCACAGAACTAGCAAGGAAATATCCTAGTAACAAATGTAGTCTTGCACTCAGATTTTTAGAAATCATATTGAATTAACTAACAAGACAAGGCAGACTTGGTTTAAGAATCAAGTCACTAAGGAAAATGAAAAATCCTGGGGCCACGAGCCACCCATAACATCAATGTCTGTTTTGCACCCAAAAACAAGGGCAAACGCAACAACAGCACGTGTCCTCTCAGCCCTCTCAAGGACGCGCACAAGAGAGAAGCCACAGTGCGGCGTGTGCTCCTAGAGCGGGGCTCGCCCCTGCACACTGGGCTCTCCCACCTGGCGCCACACCCATTCCAGGCAAGGCAGGCAGCACAGCAGCAGACCTCAACCACACCCAGCGAGAACAATGGAAGTAGAGAGCAGACACTCTGATCACAGCCCAGAGGGAAAAGCAGGTCTTACTTTTGCTTATAAAAGACCAGATCCAAAGGCAGAAAGAGGACCGGGGGATGAGGACCAACAGGAAAGACCACCTCGGAGTAGAAGGGGTTGGCCAACATCACAGCGTTATTTATAGGGAATCGCCCTGCGCAGCATGGTGGTGGAGTGGCTGGGATGCGTGGATGGAAAAACAACCAAGGAGTCTGCAAGAACTCGTTCACTTTTTAATTTTTTCTTCTTGAGTCAGAGTTTCACTCCACAGTACAGGCTGGAGTGCAATGGCACAATCACGGCTTACCGCAGCCTTGACCTCCTGGGCTCAAGTGATCCTCCTGCCTCAGCCTCTAGAGTTGCTGGGACTACAGGTGCATGCCACCTCACCTTGATATTATTTTTATTTTTGTAGAGACGAGGTCACACTATGCTGCCCAGGCTGGTCTTGAGCTCCTGGTCTCAGGCGATCATCCCAATTCAGCCTCCCAAAGTGCTGGGATGGATGACAGGCATGAGCCACCACGTCCAGCCCCTCATTCACTTTTAACAGGCGAGGATTCGAAGAATCACGTAAGTAAGAATGTGCTGTCCTAAATGCCAAACAGGTCTTTGTAAGAAAGTCAAGTTCCAAGAAGATCACTCCCTCACATGTGCCCTGTTCCTTATACCTGTCACAGTCTTTCCATGCTTTCATTTAGTCGCAATCCTGTGAGACAGGTACAGTCACCACCTGAAGGTTAACAGGACCCTTTTTAAGCATAGCTTGAGAAAACGACGTCAACCAAAAGCTCCTGTGTCAGCTAGGCAGCCTATTCTAACCAAAGCCACAATGTGCTGTCTTCTGATTACTTTCTGGCGCAAAAAATACTTAGAAGCAACAGCTGACTTCTTATAACTATGTGATCTCCTCCCTTAGATCACGCTTTATAAATTAAAAGTCATCCACAAATACAAATATCTACTCATGACTCGCCAACAAATGCCTCTGAGGGCCAGCGGCATATTTCCCCCACGTCTGCTTGCTTTTGGGAATTCCTTTTTAATCCAATCTATTCTCCACTGCCTGGAAAAAGAAAATATACCCATAGGGTGAAGTTAGCAACAACAATGACAAAACTCTGAATTGAAACAAGATACTGAGTCTTCACAAGTAAGAAACAGAAGTAAACTAGAGAACTCTGCTTCCAGGCAGACGCAGTGAATACCCCTCTCAATTCTTCCCACTAAGCACAACTAAAAACCGGCAACTGCGTGCAAAGCAAATATGCAACTGGGGCGTGGTGTGGAAGCAGAAGGCCAAGCTCTCAGGGCCTGAGGGCAGTGTGGTGCCCAGCCCCTGGTCTCACTTTTGCCTCATATATCCCAGACACAGTGCTGAAGAAGCTGGGAGCATGGAAACAAAATATCCCAATGAAAGCTGGGACCAGCAAGAGCTGCCTGAAAGACAAAAGTTTTAGGTAAGAGTCACTCTACTCCAGCTCAACCCCAAGGGAACAACGTGGCCCCCCTCCCCCTCAGTCACGAGATGGCCAAGGAGAGCTGAGACCTTGGCCATCTCCCAGCAGGGGTAAGGCCGCACCGGTGCCCCGTGTAAGGAGGCTGCAGGAGGAGCCCCGATTGCCAGTGACAGCAGAGGCTGTGAGAAACCTGAACTTCTACTTCCCCTGGCAGTAAGGAGACAGGACCCACTTCCCAGGCCAAAATGGTGTTAGAGAGAGCCAGCTAAGACAGAAAGTCTAGACAGGCACAGTGGCTCACGTCTATTATCCCAGCACTCTGGGACCCTGAGGCAAGAGGATTGATTGCCTGAGCACAGGAATTCAAGACCGCCTGGGCAATGTTTCGTTCTATAAAAATTTAATTAACCAGGTGAGGTGGCTCGCATCTGTAGTCCCAGGTACTCAGGAGGCTGAGGCAGGAGGATCACCTGAGCCCAGGAGATCATGGCTGCGGTGAGCCATGATTGTGCCACTGCACTCCAGCCTGGGCAACAGAGTGAGACCCTAACTCCAAAATAAAATAGAATAAAATTAAAAGTTTAAATAAGCTCTAGAGTCTCATAAGATAATATGAATAAGTCCAGTTTCAACTGAAAATTGCTCATCACACCAAGAACCAAGAATATATCAAATGAAATAAGATAAGCAATAGATTCCAACACTGAGGTGACAGAAACAGAATTATCTGACCAGGATCAAGCATAACGACAAAAATGCTTCAATGAGACATTACAATCATGCTTGAAATAAATGAAAAAACGTTTCTCAAAAAAGCCAATAGTGTGAAAAACAGGCTGAGAACTGTTCCAGACGGAAGTTTGCAGAGATTGTAGCTATCCAACAAGACAGTGATCAGAAACCAGATCCTATGACAGAAGGCAAAAGCATTGTATACATTATGAAATTGGCTTATGGGTATTGTCAATCGACAAAATTGGAACCTAGACTATAGATAGGTAAACTGCATCAATGCTAAATGTCCTGAAGTTAATAACTAAACTGTAGCTATACAGGACAATATATGTATTCTTAGGAAATACACACTTAAGTATAAAAACAAAGGTATATCTAAAAAAAGAAAAAACAAGAAGACTCAGCAAAGAAAAGGAAAGTTCTGGCAAATAAACAAAACATATAAAATTAGAAATGAAAAATAAAATAGATAAAATAAAAATCTCAGCAGATCGGCTCACCAGCAGAACAAAGCACAAAAGAATCAGCAGCTGGAAGACAGAATGACAGAAATGGCCCCATCTGAACAGCAGAAAACCAAAGTAAACAAATGGCAAAAAAGAGCAGAATATACCTGGGACTGGAGGGACTACCACAAAAGACCTCAGTTCTGGAAGCTGAGGGCAGAGAGGACAGGGCTGGAAAAGTACCCAAAGAAAAATGGCTGAAAAAGCAAAAATCTGGCAAGAAATAGAAACCTAGCGATTCAGGAAGTAGAGCGAACCCTCAAACAGGAAAACCCAAGGAAACCCACAACAGAACTAAAATTCTAAAAACTAAAGACAAAAAACCGTCAAAAAAAACAGAGGCAAACCTCCCCTGTAAGGCAAACAAATTTGAACAACAGACAGATTTCTCATCCCAAACCATGGAAGCCAGGAGGAAGGAGCAAAATATTTTTCAAGTGTTGAAAGAAAACCACCAAACCCATAACCCTATACCCTGTGAAAACACGTCCCTGAGGAATGAAGGAAAAACAGACATTCTTCAATGACAAAAAGCCAAGAAGCTCTGTTGCCAGTAATCTACCCAAAGGGAACTACCAAAGACATTCCCTAAACAGGAAATGATAAAAGGAGGAAGGCTGGGCCACTAGGAAGGAAGAAACAAATATGGTAAACAAAAAACAAAAAATACATGAGCTTTGCTTAAGCTTTCTAAATCAAATATGAGAGTTAAAAGTTTGTAACAGTGACACGACTCTAAATACATACAGAGAAAATATTCTGAATAATTATAAATAGAGTGCAATAAAAGGATAAAAAGAGTGAAGGCTTCTATATTTCACTTGAACTGGTAAAACAGCAACACCACTAGTTTAAGATTAAGTTATGTAGACACAGTGTAATACCTAGAGTAGCCACTAAAAATCTATACAAATATATACACAACAGATACATAAAAATGGATATCTAAATTACGTTTTATAAATAACCCATCGGAAAGGAAAAAAAAGAAAAGTGAAAAACAGAAAACAGGATAACAAGCAGAAAACAAGAACAAAAATAAAATGGCAGATTTAGGCCCTAACTCATCAATAACCACCTTAAATGTAGATGGTCTGTCTAAATACACGAGAAAATCATGAAGAAGCATGACCCAACTGTATCTTGCCCACAGAAACTCAGCTCCAACATGACAACAGAGGCAGAAAAGAATGGTGACAGATACGCAGCACACAAAGCTGGCCAAGGGGAACAGGAGTGGCCAGTGATCATCAGATAACATCATCTCCAGGGTGAATGAAATGGCCAGAGATAAAGAGTGACATCACATATTGATAAAGTCAGTCCCCCAAAGAGATACACAGCCACTGTAAATTGCTTCCAAATAAGAGAACTAAAAAGTATGTGAGGCAAAACTGATAAACCTGAAAGGACAAATCTACAGCCATAGCTGGAGACTTCAAACTCCCCCTCCGCAGCTGACAGAACTTGACGAAAACCTCTACACCGCCAATCAAATAGGTTACTATAATATACAGA